TCCCTTATTCCTCAGCCCTGGGCTCCTGCCTGCTCGCCCCTTCTGGGCTTGTGCTGCGCCGTCTGCGGTCGGAGCGGTGTAGGAGCCGCCGCGGGCCGGCCCTGGAGCCACTTTCTCCCTCTGGCAGCACTCGAAGCGGCGCCGCGCTCACGCCGGCCGGGTAGCGGGCCTGGCTGCCCAACTCACCCGCATCTTCCTTCCGCGGTGTGTAAACAGGCGTTTGCAACTGCTCGCTTCGACTGTTAAGGCCTGCTTTGCAGATCAGAGTAAGAACTCGCCCTCTGATCCACCAGCTATTATGTTGGTGCAGTTTTGTAGTTGGGGTATTTCTGTGGACGTTCTTTGTATCTCACATGCTCACTGTGTGCAGAGTATGTAATTTCTCAAAGTTGTGGTGAAAATACTAGTGCAGTGCAGGCTCGGTTTTCTACAATATTTACAAGTTTTGAGATTTTTTTTAGTGTTGTTTTAATAGTATTTGGAATTTGTTGAGGCTGTGGAAGTATAGATATAATACTGTTTTTTTGCTAACTCGGCTCAAATACAAAGTTTCTTAAAATGGTGTGCACACTTCTGTGCTTTAAATTGGTGGCATGAAGTTGTCTTGTCTAAATTCTTGTTCTCTGAAGTTCTTGCTCAGTTAATGAATTGCTCTTAGTTTTGTGTGGCACTTTAATCCCAGAAGTCACTCTTTCTGGTCATTCACTTTAAATTATTGGATGGCTTGTCTACCCTTTCTACTGATGTTTGATTTTTATTTCTTTTTAATATACAGTCAGTAAAAGCTAGGCATTTGAACTTGTGTTTCTGTTTGCGGACTTCCTAAATATCACGTTATGATCTGGAATCACCGTGTCTAGTTGTCACCACTGAAGGTTGTATAAGGTATCCATGGTACATCGTGGAGAACTTGCCATTTATCACCGAAGAAATACTGAGGAGATCCGTTCTAAATGCTGTCTAAAAGTTGGGATAAGAATGTAGAGTTGTGAAATTAAGAAATACTCCAGAGGGCAGCGGATTTGATTTTTCAAGACACGAAGGTCCTGTAAGAAAACTCTGCCCTTGAATTCTCCTTGCTTTTTGGCATTGCCGTCACATCTCTTGAGAAGATACATTATAAAGTGTACTGGGTCTGGCTGGGATGGAGTTAACGTTCTTCATAGCAGCCTGTGTGGTTCTGTGTTTTGGATTTGTGGCTAAAAGAATGTTGACAACACATCAGTGTTTTGGCTCTGGCTGAGCAGCACTTGCACAGTGTCAAGGCTTTCTCTTTTTTTCCCCACTCTGCCACCCTGGCAAGTATGCTGGGAGTAGGCAAGAAGCTGGGAGGGGACCCTGCCGGGACAGCTGACCCAAACTGACCAGAGGGATATTCCATGCCATGTAACATCACGTTCAGCAACACAGACTGAGATAGAGGAAGAAAAAGGTTTTTGTTCAGTCATTTTCGTTTTTTTTGGGGGTGTTTTTTTAATTGGTCTCCAAGGTGGTGGTTATTCGGAGGCAGGCTGGAGATCAGTGAGCCCGTAGGAAGGTAGTGAGTGATTTCCTTTGTTTCACTTGTCTTTTAATTGATTAAACTGTCTTTATCTTGACCAGCAAGTTTTCTTGACTTTGTTCATCCTGTTTTCTTCGCCATCGTGCTGGCGGGGATGAGGAACGAAAAATTGGCTGTGTAGGTGCTTGGCTGCTGGCCAGGGTCAACCCACCGCAAAAATACAGGGAACAGATGATCTTCAGTGAAGTTACTAAATAGGCAGTTGTTTTCGGTTTGTTGTGTTTACAAAGTGCTGATGTAGAGGTGGCGCAGAATCCATTAGTTAAGGAATTTGGGCTTTGCTGTTGTTTTGCTTAGGTGGAATTATAGTTACTTGTCAACAGGTAACTTGCCATCAGTATCTAGCGCTTTACAGTTGTTACTGAGTGAGGGGTTTGTACAAGGGATGTTCTCAAACACGTCATTGGAGTGTTTGGCTCTTAGTTTTTTGTTGGACGGATGTAGTCATTTGCTACAGAAGCTTGTGTTTGTTCTGAGAGTACTGTGCTGTGTATTATGTGATGTTAGATAACGTTGAAAATCAGGGTATGTTTAAGTCAGTATTAAAGTGATTCTTGTTCTCACATTTGGAAGGCAATAAACATAGGGAAAACACTTAAGTTTGCTTTGTAAATTGAAGTACTCCCTGAAGTTTCTCCTTGTTGGATATTTTTGCTCTTTCATTTGATTGTCTTCACTGCTGAGTGCAGTGCTGGACTGGGGAGTAGCATACTCTTGTTGTAAACTTTGAAAGCAGGTGGATTTCAGAAGAATGGACACATCCTGTAATCTTGAGATGGACTTACACATCTTTCAAGGACTCAAAAGAATTGAGAGTTTTTCCCTCGATATGTTGTCAGTCTGTTTAATTTCAACAGTTCAGTATGCCACAGTTGATGACCAAGTAATCTCATCGTGTTTTCATCATTTCCAGAAGTCAACTTAAATTTTGAATTTCTTTTGCTTCTAAAATGGAAACAGAAAGATGCGGTGCATAGCGTCTTGGAACGTGGAAGGAACTCTTCATAGTATCCCAAATTGTGGGTTCATTACATGCTTGGCTTTAACATTAGCCACTGCTATGGATGAGCTGCAGCAGTGTAGCACAATATGTAAAGCAAAGTACGGATATCAGCCATTAATTATGTTTCATTTTCTTTCCACAGTTAAGTTGATTTTACAGAATTTATCAGGTCTTCAAAGCACAAACAGGTAAGCTGCCAAAAGCTTAACACTTCTCACTGAGTATTGTGACACGATCATACACGACCTTTTTTCCAACAGACTTGTGGCTGGGAACTAGGATATGTTCTCCTGACTGCATGTGGCTGCTGCAGTTAATACTCTGACTACAGGAAAGCGACAACATTTTTGAATGCTGAGAAAACACATGTTATTGAACAGAACTGATCACTGGGTAGAGCAACTTGTCAAAGCAGTAATGCCATCACTGTTGATGAATTACGTCGTTTTTCCAGTGACGTAGTTATCCTTTTTTCTTTCTCTTTTTATCATCCACTGTTTTCTGTGTTATGATCACAAGTGTCCTGTTCAAATGTAAACAGGACTTTTTTTTGTTCCTTAGGACTGGGATCTCTGGCATACAGTATGCTGTGAAAGACTTTAGGTGTTCTTTAGGTATCATGGATGGTGAGGAGTGACTTAGGTGGATTTTGTTGCCCTTAGGATAGGGAATATTGACAGACTTGTCCACTGCTGGTGCAGTAGCTAATTGTTCCGACTAATCAACTTCCAGTGAATCTCGTTTTAATCTTGTTCTTGTGAACTTGTGAGTTTCATACCTTCTCTTGATTGAGACAAGGGCTTTCATTAAAAAGGCTCTAGCTGCTTAAGTGTTAAGATACTGTAATAGCCGAGTACTAAAGACGTGCTATCATGTACCTTTTTGTCTGCAGGTGATTTTTGCTGTGGGTTGAGCTCAGCATGGCTGTAGTCATCCGTTTACAGGGGCTTCCTGTTGTTGCGGGTCCTGCAGATATTCGTCGTTTCTTCTTGGGATTGAATATTCCTGATGGAGGTGTGCATATTATTGGAGGAGAGATTGGGGAGGCTTTTATTATATTTGCCACAGATGAAGATGCACGGCGTGCCATGAGCTGTTCAGGAGGGTTTATCAAGGACTCACGCATAGAGCTTTTTCTCAGCAGCAAGGCAGAAATGCAGAATACGATAGAAATGAGCCGGAAACGATTTGACCGTGGGGGACGAGAAACTATGTCTGGCTCTAGAAGAACAGGTACTAATGGTTCTGGTCCATCAGGTGTTGGAGACATTCCACATTTAGTCACGGCTTTTCCAAAAGGAATAAGTAAACCTGGTTATGGTCCACCAAATCATCCAGAGGCTGGTTTCCATACCAACGGCACAAGACATGGTGATATAGGCATTCCTAAATCAAGCTATCAGTCCAGAAAGGATTCTCATCCTTTTAACCCAGATGATCTTTACTTATTTCTGCGTGGTATACCTTACTCTGCAACAGAAGATGAAGTACGTGCTTTCCTTGCTGGGATACATGTGGATGGAGTGATTATGATAAAGCATCGCAATGGTTTGAACAACGGTGATTGCTTGGTAAAATTTGCTACGCCTGCGGATGCCTTAGAAGGACTTAAACGCCACAGACAATACATGGGTCAGAGGTTTATAGAAATTAGCCCATCTACAGAGGAACAGTGGATTGAATATGGCGGGAGGATCGAAATGCCAAATGAAATTGATCGCTTTTTCCGTGAGGACAGTTCTCCAAGAAGTTCAGGATACATGCATTCAAGGAAGCGTTCTCATTCACGATCACCAAGGAGACAAAGAACGCGTTCTCGTTCATCTCCCACTCAGGAATATTACATACACTTAAGAAATTTATCTACTAATGTGGAGAAGAGAGATTTGAGAGATTTTTTTCCTGATCTGGATATATGCAGCAAACAAATCAAGCTTCTAACAGATAAGCATCAGAGGAGGACTAGAGATGCCTTTGTGATGTTAAGGAGTGAGAGAGATTATCAGGCTGCTTTGGAATGTCATAGAAAGGTTCTTCTCAATCGTCCAGTTTACATTTTCCCAATTTCAAAAAAGTCAATGTTGAAAATAATTGATTCTTGTGAGAGGAAGAGATCACAGGACAGAGATCACCCTGGACAGGCCATGTCAGAAAAAAGTTATCGGGAAGGTCATCCTGGACCTAAGATCTGTGTTTATGTACGGAATTTTCCGTTCGATGTGTCAAAAATCGAAGTGCAGAAGTTCTTTGCAAGATTTGATGTCGATGAACAGGATATTTACTTGCTCTATGATGACAAAGGAGTTGGGCTGGGAGAAGCATTAGTGAAGTTTAAATCTGAAGAACAAGCCATGAAAGCAGAAAATTTAAATCGTCGGAGATTCTTGGGAACGGAGGTATTGATAAGACTTATATCTGAAGACCAGATGCAGAAGTTTGGTGTAACTGTACCATTGTCTGCACCAAATGACATGCAGGGTCATTCACATCCATATGACAGAGGTCAGCTTTCCCGTCCCATTGGTTCACCATCTGGGCCACCACAAGGGCCACCCATGCATTCATTTGGTCCCCCTGGCAACTTCAGGCATCCTTCTGAATTTAGGCACCCCTCTGAGGACTTCATGTGCCCTCCTAAGGATTTCAGAGGTCCGCCACCCCTCATGGATTTTGGTGGTGATGGCGAACCTTTTGGCAGAATGGAGTTTGGGAATAATAAAATGGGAGGTTTTCCTGAAGGAAGATTTATGCCAGATGCAAATTTCAGTGGCAGTTCTGAACGTGTTGTCCCTATTCGATTGAAAAATTTACCTTTTAAAGCTACTCCTAATGAGATTCTTGATTTTTTCTATGGCTACAGAGTGATCCCAGAGTCGGTTTCTGTACAGTACAATGAACAAGGATTACCTTCGGGTGATGCCATCGTTGCTATGACAAACTATGAGGAAGCTATGGCTGCTATTAACGAACTGAATGATAGGCCAATTGGTCCTCGGAAAGTTAAGTTGAGCTTGCTGTAAAGGAGGAAAAGATGCTCTAGATTAAATGTTCTAGGTTTGACAGTATTGACAGTTATTTTCTCTTTTTTTAATGACTGGAAGATGCAGAAAAAACAGTTTCTGTCAACGGTTGTAAATAATACCTAGTTCAGTTGTTTAGCTCTTGGTTGAAATACCTGTATGATTAAGATATGAGAACTGTATTGTGCCTACTTCTTGTGGCAGAGAAGAGCTCAGAAATTCTGGAAGACATGAATGTCTTACATCAAGGTAAAAAGGCATGGAGTTGTAATACTTTGGTTTTTGGTTTGTTGGTGTTTTTTTTTTTTGTTTTTTATTTAGTTTACTTTAATTCCATGTCCCATGACTTTGCATCAAATAAAAATCTAAGTGCTGGTTCATTGACCACACAAACGGTTCAAACAGAAGAACTTCAGTGCTGCCTACATTCGTAAATAACACTTTTTACTGAGGTTAGCTGATTAAAGTTAAAAAATTAACTGATTTTTTTTTTTGTGTATAAACTGTTCAGATTTTGTTCGGTTTTATATGTTAGCAGGCATTCCTATTCAAAGAAGATAAAAGACGTTCCTGTTCACGTTAGCTGGCTTTGCAACTTTTTTAAATAAAAAAATAAATTGCAATCAAATGCGTGTGTTATATTTCAAGCTTAAATAGTTAATGATCTGTTATGCTCAGCATACATGGCTCTTGGTGAGAAGACTGCTGGCTGGTTCCTCTGGAAAGAGGGAACTATTACAGTTTGTCAACAAAGTGATGAATAGGTTACAAAGACTGCAACAATCTATTAATCAGTTCAATAGGCTTTCTTCTTCTCGTCACTAATACTGTGAGGCAGAAAACATTGGAATTATGTCAAGAATTGTGACTTCAGCCTGAGCCTTCAGACTGGTCTTTGCTTATTTCTACATGCTTGTAATATGAGTATTAATTTGCTAATGATGTCTGGATGCATTCCAGGTCAATCTCTGCTTAGTTTTAACTAACATCTGTCACTGGCAACTGAGATGAAACCATCTATGTTGCTTTCATAAATAAGAAAATAAATGCTTATGCCCGTATTTAGAATGCTTTGATTGGTTTGGTACTAGCATATTTAAATTTTAGGAAGAAATAAAAGCTGGCCTGCTTGAGGAAAGGCTGCATCTTCAAATTCAGGCTTAGTAGGAAACTGTGTGGCTAAGAGCTTCTTTGACATTTCAGCTGTACAAGATGGCACTTTCTTGAACTAAGACAACAAAGTTGCAACTTGGTGATTAAAACTTGTCATAACCTTTGCTCTGGCAATACCAAAAAAATATGGATTCATAGAGTAGTTCAGGTTTGAAGAGACCAGGTGGTGTAGTCCAACCCCCTTCTCAAAGCAGTGTCAGAACAGGTTACTCAGGGATTTTTAATAGCTCTAGGGCTAGAGGCTCCACAACCTCTCTGGGCAGCGTATTCCAGTGACTGGTCACCCTCACTGCTGGTCAAACCTAAGTAGTTCATGTAAAGTCATCTTCATTACTAAACTTCCATGTAAACTCCTGAAGCAGAAGCACACAAAATCAAGACAACTTTTTATTTGTTCTGTATTTTTTAAAAGGCTAGTGTAGCTTTTTTTCTTGTATATATTATTTGTCCTCTGCTTTAAGTGCTAGGAAAAAAAACATTTTGAATGAGAATGATAATGACAAGTCTGTATATGTAGATACCTCTGAGCAAAGAAAATTAAATATGGCCAAATTTTCAATTTCTGAACACTATGTACCTTTTATTTGCTGTCTGATAGGAAATAGCTTCAGAAATATACTGTTCGGAATCCTCTGAACTGAAATTGAATTAGAATAAAGCCCACCAAATTCGTAACTTTATTTGATAGCTGCTATAAAAGCCATTAAGGAGCTACAAGATTTTGCAGGGAAAATAAAGGTGTTCTATGATTATCCTCAAAATAAACTTGTCTGACCTAATCATGCAGTTGAAAACTTCATCATGATTGTTACTGTAAGGTAATGTCATTACTACTAGCAGAGTAGTAGCCTCTATTACTGTGTTGTAAATGTGAATGCAGCTAACCTCTTGTTAATCAGCTTTAGATGATTTGTTTTTAAAGTTCTAGCTACTATACAACAGGAGATTTCAAACGCTGAAAGTAAATTGATAAACTTTTTAATGTGCTCTGGTAGTGTTGTACACACATATGCATTCTTGTAATAAAAAAAGGATTTGGAAGCTGGAAAGATAGGATAATTTATGGTTTTTTTGCTGGTTAAGTGTGAGATTATCTTCTAGAAAAAACATTATCTATTCTCAAGAAAGTTAGAATAATTACTGATAAAGATACCACTGATTTTTTCCCCCTAGTGAATACATAAAAGGTCATGAAGCTTATAATGACAAAGGTCATAATTAAAGGCATTAAAAATATTTATTTGCCCTATAGCTAATTTGTCTTTAATTTAAAGATAGATTAGAATTTATGAGTAGGTTAACCTGAAGTGTCTGACTGATAGTCCAAAAAGTGGGTTTCTTTTAAACGGTCTATAAAGGCAAAAACTACTTCAAACTATAGAGAGATGAGATGAAGCACACAGAAATTGGGAAGGAATGTCAGTACATCAGTGAATAAGAAGGTAATAGGACAGTTGATTCTGAGTTTATAGCTGTTACCTTGCTAAAATGTTTTGGTTGGTGTTTCGGGATCTCCCCTGCTGGAATGTGTATGCCTGTATATAGGCATTGTATTCTGATTCTGCCTGAATAGGTGGTACAGGTGTGCGATGCAGTAACAGCATTTCCTGATAATAGGGTTGTGCAGTGTTAGATGTTTTAAGGGTTTGGAGGTGGTGTACTTTATTCAGTATAAAGGACAAATCAGAGACAGTCTGTAATTACATGGCTTGAATTATTGCTCTTCCTTTTTAAGAACAATCATAGAATCAAAGGTTGGAAAGGACCTTAAGATCATCAAGTCCAGCCTACAGCCCTACACCACCCTAACACTAAATCATATCTTGAACTGCCACATCCAGACGTTTTTTAAACACGTCCAGGGGTGGTGACTCCACCACCTCCCTTGGCAACCCATTCCAATACTTCACCACCCTTTCGGTGAAGAAGTTTTTCCTAATATCCAATCTAAACTGCCCCTGGTGCAACTTGAACCCGTTCCCTCTTGTCCTGTCGGTGTTTGCTAGAGAGAAGAGGCCAACACCCGTCTCACTACAGCTGCCTGTCAGGTAGTTGTAGAGAGCAATAAGGTCTCCCCTCAGCCTCCTCTTCAGGCTGAACAGCCCCAGCTCCCTAAGCCTCTCTCCATAAGACTTACAGTCCATATAGCAGAAGAATAATAAATGCTGTAGTTTGAGGTGTTGATATAAAATATTGCTAGTTTCCTTAGTTATGCTTTGAAGCTGGTTTTGCTACCATTGTCCAAAAATCGTGACTTAAAGGAGAACGGTCTCTATTGTCAAAATCTAACAGTAGTGATCATGAACAGAAGAGCTTGAGGCATTCAGGAAAGCTCTAACAATCTAATGAGTACAAGAAGATAACCCTTAGTTCCAAAGGGCTGGGCCAGCATGCTGAACGGGGCAGCAAAATACTCTTAGCAAGACTGGATGCAAGCCTGCATCATCTAGATGTCAGTATTCAAAATATGAGCAAATAGAGTACTGTCAGTCTTGCCGTAAGCACTTCCGCCATAAGAAAAAGCTTTGCAAAAGTATCTTTAGGTAATATTTAATTTTGTAATTACATTCTAAATCCTTCTGGCTTTAAAATACTTCCATCAGTGACTTTTTCATCTATAGTTACGAGGTCGCCCGATTCCTGTCCAACATGCAAATTTACAGGACAGAGTTGCCTAACACTGTATTTCTCCCTTTCTGTAAGTTTTTCTGTTATTCGTAAAGTGGACTTTTTTTGTGAGGTAGGGGAGGAGAAGGACTCTGAAGCTGTTGAGGAAAAAACCCCACCTTTCTTTTAGTACCCTAGCTACTGATCTTTTAGCGGGAATTAATCTAAACACTACTTAATTTTTTTATTCAGAATTCCTTTTTCGAGGCATAATACAGACAAAATCACAATTTGTAAATATGTGTATTATATGAAAACCCGGTATAGTCAGGAAGTTAATCATCCATTTTGGAGATGGACTACATGTCTTCACTGAATATGAAGTGGTAAAGTGATCTTTGTAATTCTGATGTTGTGATACAAACATTTTTAAGTGCTGGAATATATGGGAATTAAGTTACCTAGATACTTTGAAAGCATCATTAGTACTGTACTCCTTGTCAACAGTAGTTCAATGCCAATAGTATGTAATTCCGGTGTAAAACTATTTCCTGGGTTATAAACAGAATCCTATATTGTGAGATTTTCACTTCTTTTTTCATTACATTAATTTTTCGCAAAACCTATTTTTTCACCTGTCAAAACATGTATGCATTGCATGCTTTGCATCAGTGGACAAAGGCAGCATCAATACTAAAAATGCTTTTTCTGGCTTATTTTCAAAACTGACTGAATATTTGGTTATAACTCAAGATTGTTTCCCCAGTTACAAGATTAAATTGTAAATTTATAGAAGTGTCCTTTCTTTAGCAGATATTAAAGCTGGTGACAAACAATATGGTAGCTGCTTTCTGACAGACAGTTGTAAGCTGTTCAAAAACGAACATGCATAACCACCATCTGCAAACAGGATAAGAAATTACACTCAAAATGTGTAATTTCTTGTTTGTTTGATGGAATTCGTAACTGAATCAACCAGTTAAACACATGAAACTATACAAAGCATGTCAACTAATACATACATGTCAAGTGTATAAAATATCAACTAGTTTTATTATGAAGGCACTTTTATTTAAAAGCAAAGCAGCATTAAAAGGAGACACCAGGCTAGGTCCTGACTTGTGAATGTTCATTCTGTGTGTGTAAAGGAATCAAAAGTCATCTCAAGTCAAGCCTGAGGAAAATGAGAATGAGGAAACAACACACCTCACCCTGCTTTCTGCCATCCAAGGTGGGTAACGAAATTAAATTGACAGGATTGTTGCTGTCAACAGTTTTCTGAGTACTACAATTACTTTAGGATGTATAAACAATTATAATAGGTATAGCTAGAGAGTAAAGTAATATATTGGCAAAGTAACAAGCAAACCCTTATGTTCATAACTGCTTGTCAGCTTAGTACAGTTTTTGGACACTATTCCTCATGTAAGTTTAAGCAAATGTAACTGCAGTATAACATCTATGGGAATATAATACCGGATTCTATTGAAATATTTCATTTTCTAGCTACTGAAATTGTCCATTTTCAGCAGATTTTATTACATTCTTTGAAACTGGTCATTTGTTGTCTGGCACTCTACAATTAGTGCCAATTCTTGCTCCTATTGGAATTTTAAAAATACAGCATCAGTGTACTTTTTGATTAACACACAAAAGCCTTTACATAAAGGGAAATCTTTTTTCACCAATAATGAAAAAAAGACTCTTAGAGCAGTTTTATTATCTCACTTCCTTAGCAGCCTCTAACTCTTCCTCCTCCTCCTCCTCCTCCTCTTCCTCATCTTCATCGTCTTCCTCCTCCTCTTCTTCGTCTTTTCTTAGCATACTGCTGGAAATCTGTTAAAACAAAAACCCAAATCCAGTTAAGTGTTTGTTCTCCTGAAAGAAAAACAACTTTGTTGTTGGCATTTCCAGTCTTAAGTGTTTGTAGATTTTTCCTGTGCGATAGGCACAATGCTAACAGAGAGATTTATGGCACAGAATATACAGTAATGATTTTTAAAAGCTAAAAAAAAAATCCCCATAGTCCAGAGAACTATTAATATTAAAAATCAACAGGATGTCAGTTTTTCTGAGTTGGCTGTTCAGACAGCAGGCTAAACATCAATATTGAGGCTTAATCTTATCTTGAAGACATCAGACCTCTTCAGTTAAAAGAAAAACTCAACACTGCTGCTCTAAGCTGTTTTTGAGAATAAATTAGACAAACTTTACTAGAAGAGTCTTGATTCATATGTGAACTTCTTTCCCTGCCCATCAGCGCTTGCCCTTCAGAATGATACTGTAGTCCTTTTTTGGTTCATAAATGTTAAAAACAAGTGCCAGCTGCCAAGCTCTCATCTCCTGACAGATTCTGCAATCTATACTTTTTTCTAATGAGGGCTCAATCTAATTCCTATTGAAGATGGATTCTTCACAGAAGATGCAACATTTACAATTTAAAGTAGAATATGTTTTGTTTTTTCTTTCCCCATGAGAAAAGGAATATTACACTCAAAGATAGTTATCCAAGTCATCTGGAATGCTTCTGAAAAATGATTTTAGGTTCAGTTTAGCAGTTCTCTAAGGGCATCTGCAGCTCTAATTTTGGCTATATTTTGAGTCTTCTCACATACAGTAGTATAATAAAAGCTTCAGTACTGAAGACAAAACTTGCCTTTTTCTCTTTTTTTAAACAACCCCCTATTTTAAAAGTCCTTAAATGCTGGTTATTAAATTGACTTCTGAGATTTCATAATTCATACAGCTATGCAAATAACAAATGTTTTTTGTGTGCATAAAGCAAACTGCAATCATTGAACTAAAGAAAGCAGAAAAATCCTCAGTCTTGTTGATGCTTGCAAAGTACATAATTTAGCTTCAAGCAAATGCTTGCTTAGAAATCTCTGAAAGTAACAGAAAATGGAGTTAATCACTGGATGAAGCTGGGTTAACTTGAGTCTAAATGCCTAAACCAGCAATCTTTCATTCTGTGAAAGGACAATGACACTGATTTGCCACCATTCATAGACCTCTAAGATCACATTGTTTTGGAATGTATTACAGTCTCCCTCTTGAGTCTAGAGGACTTGCTTTTCTTTTTAGATGTTCCAGTAAGAGGTTATAAGAACACTAACATCTGCTAAAAGAGAGGTCTAGGAAAAGAGTAAGGTGAACTTGCAAGTTAGTCAAAATGGAGTTCCCCATAATCTCTGAGAGAAATCACAATGCACATACATTTCGTTTCAAGAATACAGAACACAGCTATCTGTGGCACCTCAAAGTAATTACAGGTGTTTCTTTGCCCTTGATATAGTTTTACAGCACTGCAGGAAGTTCCCAAGGAAGACGGTAACAGATTTTTGGCAGTTTCCTCTTGTCTTCAAAAAAATGAATTTTTCAAAAAACCACGTTTTCTCAAGTTGCTTGAAAGTGAAATGTGCTTGTTTGATAGAGAAGACATGCAACTTAAAATCAAGGTTGGTCTTCAAGCACTGCATCACTGGGTTATTTTATCTTTGCAGACAGCATGACTTGTATTTTCAGCAACAGAATAACTCAGCTGTGTTGAGAGCAAAGGAGGCAGAATGGTGTGCAAAAGTCAGAAGAACTTCTTAGTATTACAGTATCAATGCAGGAATCTATCCACAGAAGTGTGATGCGTACGTTTTAAATTTGGCCCTCTTTGTCTTTAACCAAAACACTGGTAAGAATCAGTTACAGGATCAAGGCTGCAATAAAGACAAATAATTTAACCATTTTGCAGTATCGGCAAGTTTACTGCTGCAAACAAGTGTGAAGGATTTTTGCAAGGTAGCTAGTTCAAAAGCAGTGACACTTTCACTTGTTATCACCATCCTCCTTTTCCTCACCTGCTCTGAATTTTTGAAGTATAAAAGGAAAGGTCATGGATTTGCTCTGCTGCTAGGAAGCATCACTAGCCAGAGTCAAGATTCCACAGAGAATCCACACTCTAGGATCTGGATACTGAGACAATACACAAGTGTTTAAAAAGAATGTCACTTCTGTTTCCAGTAAGCTCCTAGAGCTTTTTTCTGCAAGGTGCCACAATTTGCTGATGAAAAAAAACTAGTATCTCTGAAAATAACATTATTCAAAAGTGAATAATGCAGCTTGAAAAGCTGATTTTGGGTTTTCCTCAAATAAAAAATGATATTTAGAAGCTGCATTAATAAAAGCATTAATAATAAGACCTTTATGCCCTTGGAAGTCTCTTTACCTTTCTAACTGTCCTGAACTGGGTAAAGATAGTGGATACATATACATGTACACTACCTAAGGATCTCCTTAAGTCATTCTTTTAATACAGTTACTTAGCAGTTAATTTTCCTTTCTTACCTGTACTGTCCTCAATGAAGATTTTAAGGAGCCAGTTCTTTGCAGCGGAGACTTTGAATTTGCACGAACTATGTCTAAGCGAGACTGATAGTCTGGTGGATAAAGTGAGCTCCGAAAAACCTGTTGAGATGAAGAAAGCTGTGACTTGGGTGCCATGATACAGCTTGGGTGCCAAGCTAACAGCCTCCAAGACTGAAGCCAACAAAAATGCAGCAGCACTGGACAATAATAAAATCTCCTCTAGAGTTATAGATCAACTGTAGTTTGGATTGATTGGTTTTAGCTTAACATCTTTGCTCAGCCTGAGACATAGCAACACACTTACATGGTCAAAGTAAACACTCTTGAGAGATCTGAAGGGATTGACAGGTGGAACACTGCAATGGTTTCCAACCAACACATGCAGCTGAGTTTCAGGCTAACCCAGAGGTACGAACCCCAGCAAGCCCCTTCAGGGTCTGTATTTCTCAGAGATGAACTCTTAGCCCCTTCACAAGCAAATCCTTGCTGCCAGTCACAGCTGCATCCAAGACATTTTAACTGAATTGTTCAGGAGATATACAGCTCAAGAAAAATTTGGGAAAACTCATACAGAAGAGACCATAATAACGATTATACTTACAAGTTCTTTCCAGTAGCTAAGAAGAGTAAATTATAAGACTAACAGTCTAATACTAAAAATAATAAAGCTATTCGTGCAAGACTTTATTAATGAAGTCATGGAAGATGGTAGAATTGTAGTCAGTCACTATTTTTACGGAAAGTAAATATACAATTAACAGGAAATTTAAAATGAGGTTAGAAATTTGGTTGTGAAAGATAAAAGTATGGACTTAAAGGATACTTTTGAGTTTTTGCCACATGACATTTTAATTTTTGAACTAGAATAGTACAAATTTGCCATGCCATAGTTTAAATGAAGTATAAAGAACCAAGTAGCCTCATATGTGACTGTCACTGAAGAAGCATGATTTTGTATCTCTTGTGCTAACTGAATACTGCCAGACTTGGTCCTCACCTATGTCTTGGAAAACATAAAATTAGGACTGATAAGATTTACAGTAAAAGACCAAAAGTGATCCAACTTTCTTGACAAGCTGCACACATATACACAACATACATTTCAACGATAGTAAGTTTAAAGGACCAACATCCAGAACCGCAAGAAAGAATAAAGGATTGAAAAAATTGTCTTGGGAAAGAGAGATTGTAACTCAAAAAAGAAAAAAAGGGTGATTTTAAAGGAACCTCCAACTGCCATGAGAAAAAAAGGCAATTTGGTAACAAATGTGTCTTAATTCTAGAACAGCCTAATTAGAAACAGTGAAAGATGAAAACCAGCAAACAAAACTCAGAAGAGAAAGAAGAGATTTTTAGTGAAGTAATTATCTTACCAGAGCACTGTAAGGTTTTCTCTTACTGTGCGTTTTTACAGCGAGATTCACTGGAGAGTTGTTACTTTAAGAACTATGATGGCTGAGCTTGGAGTGGCAGTTTGTTTAGGAAGTCTCTTGTCTGTATTTAATGGGAAAGATTAGATTGGCACTGCAGGTCTCCTCTGTTTTTAATATTTCAGAGTTTATAAACCTGCATGCTGCTCTTGGAGAGATGCAAGGAAGGGTTTGGTATACCCCAGAAGTTTGTTCTGAGAACCTAAAACATATGTACCATTTTCTGCCTGGGACTTGTATAGCTCCGAGTATGAAAACTGTTCTTATGTAGTAAGTAATATGACAACCAAATCTTAATCACTCTTACCTCTAAATCTTCATTTTCATCAATATTTTGGATATTTTGGTAGGCAGCAGTATATATCTCTAAAGCTTTCCCGTGGAATATCATTTCAATAGTTATAAATTCAGAAAATATGTTCTAAAACCAAATGAAAACAGAGGTTTTCTTAATGCAGTGCAGTACATTCCCACTTCAAACACAAGAAATTACAGAATTCGGCACTTTGTGTTTATACAGTACAAATAACTGCATGGTACCTAGTACTTTTAAGTAGTCAGACCTGAATTTTAGAAATTAAACATAAATGTTGGCTGGGCTGTCATGCAGTTTCATACTCAATTCTAAGTCAAGTCAGTGCATGAAAAACAAAGAGGAGACTCATTCGGAATAAAATGTTATGCTGAAAACTCACTTGATGTTCCCTGATAATTATTCACAAGATACACTCATTAGATTTTTGCTTTGTTGATGGCAATCTTTTTTAACACAAATTACATGTAAATTCTATACATGTCTGTAATTTACAGATAATTTTACATAATAAAATATTATTTATATTAAACACTTAACAATGACATCTTCAGAACTCACACAATCTTTTTCATATTACACTTAACATCGAGTACAGGTTGGTTTGGTTGGGTTTTTCAACGACCTTTCCTGTTTAGTCTGTGTTTTTCTCTTCAACAAAAGTATCAACGTATCTCATTTCAGCAACTTTATAATTAAACTTGAGATTACATAATGGAAGTGTGTACTAAAGTCTTTGGGACTTAAGCCACTTAATGTTTGACATTAAGAGAGTACTTAAAGGTTTGATTACTTGCAGACACTGAATGTTTCATGCTTTCTGCAGCAGTAAAACTTCTGACTGCAGTAACCTACATAAACTTCAGCATGGATAAATATATTCTTTACTTATCACTATTTCTATTGATTTTGCTGATATTAATCCACATATATCATTCCACTAACAAATGCAGCTATGAGTGAAGTAGAATACTGCAACTGTTAGAAGGTGCAGACCCTAAACAACCGGATACAGGAAAATTCTGAATTCAATAAACTGTAAGAATAATTGAATGAGTTTTAATTGCAACGTTCATAACATTTGGATTATGAAATATTCATGAATACCACAAGATTTGTCTTTAGGTAGACTTAGGTTAATGTTGCTAATCTTGCCAAAGAATAACTGTAGTAATTTTATTATGCAAGATTAAATATGTCATATACCAAAAAGTGAGCACACATACTTTTATGTCCTTTATTTTCTGTTTCTCAAAATTATCAATGGTCTCCTCTAATTGCCGAGTTGTTCGAGTTGCATCCAGTGAAGCTCTCTGCAATTCACTTTCAGCCTGGTAGAGTAACACAAAACCGAAATTAGTTCCGTGTTTCATACAGAGATATTTTCTCTAATTGCCATGAAAATATTTAAGTCTAGGTTTTCATACATATTTGTGTTACTGTGTTTGTAGATTTGTTTGTAGCTTAATAAACATATAAAGATGCATTCTACAAAATTGTGACTTTGATCTGAGACATGAAAAATGAGGAGCTGCAGCCAGTCCAGAAAGTCCCACTGCCCTAATCCATTTTCTGTAATAATCATCTGCTAATTCCACTGAGCCAGCCCCAACACTCTGCTGATGACACAAGGACTGGGTTCAGGGAATTAACGCAGCATTAGGGTTTACCCTTACAAAAAGTTTTTGGGTTTTTTGTTTGTTTTTAAGCTGCTGTGAAGGTGAGGGCAGGAGTGCATAGGCCAGAGTGGTAAAGGAGTAGAAAAGATCACCTGCTATTTTCAAGTGCAGATCAACCTGCTGGGTCTAGAATGAATCTTTCCCAGTGTCATGCTGAACCTCATCCTACCACGCTTTTATTTAAATAGACAATAGAGCAGCAGCTGGAACTAGTGGTGGGCCTGACATTACTAGGTTAATGGTTGGACTTAAAGGTCTTTCCATCCTAAATGATTCTGTGATTCTAATGCACTTCTCCTGCAAGTATCTCAATCAGCAGATGAAAGCTCCTATCATTTGTAGATTCAAAATCATTTCAAGTATTTTGCATTTTTAGTATTTTGACATTATTGAAATTTCTTATAATAAACATCTTCAGCAGGGCACTGCAAAGGGGACACAGCAACCAACCAACCCCTAATAGATAAATACAATTTTTTCTTATTTTGTTACTACAAAAGACATTTTATGTATGTATTTTAACTAGATATACTGTATAGAAATGCAAACTACTATTTAAAAGAAGATACTGAAGCTATTCTGGTTAAGTCTGAGAACTGTGTACTATTACAAAATAAGGATGTAATGATGTAAGAGCTTGCACTTCAAGCCTGCAAAATCTGGGTCTAAATTTATTTTCCATACATTACTGGTCAAACATCCTGCAGTAGTCAAGACAGTATTTACTTACTGTTCTGTAGTAAGGAATCTATTCTGTCCTGGGATTTGGAAATAGTACATGGACTGAGTAGTTCTGTCCTATGATCAAGACATACAGTTCTTCCCATTTCTACAACACTGCAACTTAAGACAGGACCTTTTTTTTTTTTTTTTTAATAAAAGGACACCACAGGCCCACTTCCCATGATCTAGTTTTTAGCGTTACATGCATATGGGAACCTAAGGGCTAAGATGTGCTCTGCCACTTCTTTTTCTTTGATTAAAGTGTGGTAACTTTATATTACAGGATAAACAAATTGAAACAATCTCCTTAAAAAACACCTTAAAGTCATAGACTCAGTTCTGCCATTACTGGGCAAACAAAATTGGTGCTAATTTTTAGTAGTACGAAAGGTGGCATGTTCATCTCCCTTTCTTGATTTTGCCCAAAACAAGAGCAGAGTAAGAAAAGATATCTTGTGTATTTGCAATTATTACACTCAGTCACTCTGTAAATGAAACCAGCTGTTATGCATAAGCAGCCACTACACATACAAATACAGTACGTTATTTCTATGATAATCAAATATATCTTCTTGCCCTATCTTAAATAGACTGGCCAGATTTTGTGCACAGATGCTTTGGTAAAGGAATTCTGTTGCAGAGTGAAATGTCTGAACTTGTAGAACCCACATAGCTGCGTAACAGCAATTTGATGGTTTCTCTTCTGAAACACTCACCTGTGACTGGAAATATTAGTAAAGGAAAAAAATAGCACAATATTCATAGAAGTATCCAGTTTTACTTCTAATTTTAATATAACATGAAGTATTTACCTCAGATATTTCAAAACATCTGTATACTTGGGAAGGGACTATAACATTGTCTGAAGCTTCCTGATACAGGATGTAACTTAGTTTGTTATCGCTTTGATAGAATTCAGGTATCAAGACCAAAATATTTTAGGACAGCTGTTTGTCTTGGGCTGAGGTTTTGGTTATTTATTTATTTTAAAAGAAAAAGAATTAGACAACCTAGGTAGATAATTTCATTTTAAAAAAATCAATTTTGATTTTTAAAAAATGTATTTTTATATTAAAAAAAATCTGGTAAGGTTTTCTTTTCAAAGCTGCACTACTCTCATGTTTTATAAGATGGGCTTGAAATCTGGGAGTGAGTACAGATCCTTTGCTAAGTTGTCAGCTGCCAAATCACAGCTGCTCAGGAAGAGAACCATGGCTGAAGCCTAACAGCTATGCGAATGAATGCAGGTGAAGATTCTCTCAGACCTAAAAGCTGACCTCCATACATCCTCAAGAGCGAATGCACATATTCATGCTCATCATGCTTTTTATGCATTTTGTGTTCATCACTTTAAAATGTAAATATGTAGTGTTTGGTCCCTTTGGCCATATGTAAAACCAGACCGTACTAAGATTTAATAACTCCTCAGGCAAAGTCTTAAGTAAAGAAAACACAGGTGTTATAAGAAACCAAGCCATGGAAGAGTGTTAGGGCATAGCTTTGCAAAGAGATAACAAGCTAGATGCCAACCATATGCCCATGAAATCAAATGGGACTTAGCACAAAAGGGAGAAAAACGGGACCAGTCTCCCTTTGGGGAGAATCAATTACTCTTACTATTTACTCCCTTAATTCTAATGGAGGAGAACTCTGCATCACAGCTCAAGTTCTAACCCTAGAGCTGACATCTGTGTGTCTTTATCACATGAGAAATTCTAATTAGTCATCACCTGACTTAACTTTCGATTAATATTAAATGGGAATTCTTTGGCACAGGAAGAAAAAAGTTCTTCTGGGTGGCATTTGACCATCACACTAATTTTCACTCTTCCTGCAGTCCTATGCCCCTGTCACTAGGAAGATCCTAATTTCTGAAATCAAGTTGATAAAATCCTACAAAGAATATGACTGTTCCACTCCTAAATCCAATGCTAGAATGTAATAAAAAGCAAATGGCTAATGAACTTAAATGCTGTATCACAATACATAGGCATAAGGGGACTGAAGTAGATGCCCTGGTTCTCTTCTGGTTCAAACTAGGACACAAGAATTGCCTTGGTCCCCTTTATTTTGCCATTTCTTAGATTCTGACTGCTTCAGAATTTGAAACTTCAATGGGATTTTAATGGAAATTCTGTGGAAGCTTCATTTTTCCCTCTGTGATACAGAATAGTATACTGAGGAGGATCACTGGACTTTTGAGAGGAAGAGCAGTCTGGTTAAGTATTCTAAGAGAGTAACGAGTTTTCCTTTCATTTGCGTATCACAACTGAAGGAAACTCATACCCAATCTAAGTACAAAGAAGCACAACAACTATGAAAATAACAGGAAGGAAAACAATAGAACAAAATACACAGTAGTTAAAAGGAGTTGTCTGATTACATTTGCTTTCAAAAGCCTCCAAATTCCTAGATGAAATCTATGCCTATCTCCCTTGCAGAAACATATTAAATACTTCATAGTTTCTTTTCAATCAAAACAGGAGTAACAAAGCAGCTAATAGAAGCTGTAACTCATCATAAAGTTTAAGAAAAGATACAACATCAACATAGGCAACAGTCCCTCTAAAAGCATTCTTCTCTTATTACTTTCTAAACACAATAGCTTAATTCCCAAGAAATTTTAAAAATGTTTCTTATAGCCACTAGAAATGCAGGATACAATAATGTGTCGGTCTGATGGATTCCGCTGACGTGTCTTTTCCAGCTGAGATAATTGCTTGGCTTCTCGGTTCTTTGCCGTTAAAGTTGCTTTAAGATCATCCTGGAAATAAAATGTTTTAGACATGTCTGAAATAGATCTAAGGTAATACAAAATGCACTTCCCTTCATACATGCACTGCCCAGAAAACATGAACAAAACTGCTTTAAACAAAACCAGGCTTTACTGATGTTACCCTGTTAAATAACCCCCCTGAAAGAGGACCATTTAAGAGTTTAGCCCTTCGCACAACTCTCCGTAGTGCACACTATAAAATGTGGGGAAAAAAGAAAAATGTATTTACAGCTTTTCATTAAAAGTATACTGGATAGTCAAAAGCTTAAATCCCCAAAGCAGTGAGAAGACAGGTCCATTCTACGCTTAGCAATAGAATAAAGGTGGTATTTAGAAATAAAAATAGGAATCAAATAGATCAATAAGATAAAAACAAAACAGGCATCAGTCACTACCTATCAGAAGTTAGGAAGAAAACAAAACTGCTACACAGAACTTAAGGTGCCATGGAAAATCCACAGCTGAGAGGGGTAAACTGCATGTTTTATATGTGCAGTTAGTAAGAAATACAAATATATTTGCAACAGAATACATCCTAGTAATGATGTAGCTGGAGAAGATGAAACTTACTCCTCTTGAAAAGGCAGAAATTGTAGATAAATATTTTTGCTCCTCATTTCCAAAGGTGAAATAGGATGTACTTCCAGGAATATCTGTGACAATTTAAGAACGCTGACACACAATCTGATCTCCTTCTATGACAAGGTGACCCACTTAGTAGATGAGGAAAAGACTATGAATGTTTTCTACCTAGAATTCAGTAAAGTCTGACATCATTTCCCGCAGGATCCTGCTGGAGAAACTGACTGCTCATGGCTCAAAGGGGTGTACCCTTCGCTGGGTGAAAAACAGGCCCAAAGACTGGTGCTGAATGGAGTTAAACCAGTCAGCAGCTCATCACAAGTGTTCCCAGGGCTCCGTCCTCAGTTTGTGGATGACACCAAGTTGGGCAGGAGAGCTGATCTGTTTGCGGGCAGGAAGGCTCTACAGAGGGATCTGGACAGGCTGAATTGATGGGCCGAGGCCAACTATATGACCTTCAACAAGGCCAAGTGCTGGGACCTGCATGTGAGTCACAACAACCCCAGGCAATTCTACAGGCTTTGTGAGTAATGGCTGGAAAAGCTGCCTGGCAGAGAAGGACCTGGTGGTGTTTGTCAACAGCTGCCTGAACATGAGCCAGCAGTGCACCCAGGTGGCCAAGGTCAGTAACATCCTGCTCCGTACTGAAAATAGCGTGGCCAGTAGGACCAGGGAAGTGATTGTCCTCCTCCGCACTGGTGAGGCCTCATCTCAAATCCTGTGTTCAGTTTTGGGCCCCTCAGTATAAGAAAGACATTGAGGTGCTGGAGTGTGTCCATAGAAGGGCAACAAAGCTGGTGAAGGGTCTGGAGAACAAGTCTTAGGAGGATTGGCTGAGGGAACTAGGGTTGTTTAGCCTTAAGAAAAGGAGGCTGAAGGGAGACCTCATCACTCTCTACTCCCGGAAAGGAGGCTGGAATGAGGTGGGGGTTGGTCTCTTCTCTCAAGTAGCAGGGCAGGACCTCAAGTTGCACCAGTGGATGTTTAGATTGGATATTAGGAAAAATTACGTCATGAAAAGGGTTGTAAAGCACTACAGGTTGTAAAGCTACCCAGGGAAGTGGTTGTGTCACCATCCCTGGAGGTATTTAAAAGATGTGTAGGTGTGGTGCTTAGCGACTTGGTTTAGTGGAGGACCTGACACTGTTAGGTTAACAGTTGGGCTTAATGATCTTAAAGGTCTTTTTCCTTTCCTATTCTCAAATTATTCTTCATGCCATAAGACTGTGTTTTGCAAATAGTTTAGCATACATAGAATCTAATATTGTCAGATATTTATCACTAAGTTTACCCTGGCATGGGAAATTACATTAATTTTGATGGCTCTAATTTAAAGGAGCAGTACCTTAGAACTAGCAGCAATACAGCCCAAAGGAATCAGTCTAAACAAATCTGATGCAGGAGTTGGGCATGGATTTCAAACCATTTACTCTCAAAAGACCACTTCCAATTTATCTACCACTCCAGAACAGAGTGGATTAAAGGTATTAAAAACTATAATCTCATGAAGTCATCTGTGCTCCTTCCCTGGATTTCAGAATTTTAACATGGTTGTTGGTCTCCTTCACCCAGAAAGATATGGAACCAAGAATGTGTCTCTTTAGTGAGCCTGTGACCAGACCAGTAGTCAATGGTAAGTGCCAAGTTTCGGAGTGCTGTGTTTCTTCAATGATGAGTCTATATGTGAGGTTAGGATCAAAACACGCAGTTTCTTCCTGTTTCTGTCCTTACTGTAAGTTTGTATGTCCTTCAGTATATGACTATCATTTTGTTTCATCTTTAGGGACATAGAGCCGGTTTCTGGTAATAAAAAAACCTGAACATTTAGCTCATCGAAAGTAATTTTGCTGCTGCTCTTTCAAAAGGGAATTTACGTTGCCCTTAAGAACATGTGAAAGACTGCTGGAAAATGCTTTCTTCATTATGAAAACCATGTGGCTGCAAAAAAAACCAGTAGCAGATTTTTGTTTTAAATGCTTTACATTTTAAATTTTAAACTAAAGGTAGAGACAGAGAAGAGAAAAACATTTATTTCTGCCAAAGCAGTTTTGTATCTAATGGTCACAGCTTCATGTTTAGTGTTATGTAATGACTGGGCCCTATTAATGGCACTGACTTTATAGGCTCATTTAAAAACAGTTAGATTTAATACTGCACCTGAAAAGGTTCTGACTTTCATGCAAAGTGTACTTGAGAATGCTAAGGAAAACACCAGAGCTACCATTATAAAATTCAGTATTTCCTTTCAAGCACATAGTGACTTTGGAAATACTTACACGGACTGCATTGTTGTTTACCTCTGTTCTCTGTAGCAACAACCACCACCAAATATACTTCTCTGCTACCCAAAGCCTGACAAAGTTTTCGTTCTAGTGTGGCTATAGCAGGGGATCTATATACGAGTTTTGGATGTACAAAGATAGGGCACAGTTAAATACATACTTTTTTTAGGATGTTGAAGAACTGAAAAGGATGGAGAAGAAACAAAAATAATAATGAAAAGCTGGGGAAAATTACATAATTGTGAAAGAATTAAGGGCTACATTATTAGCTAACTGAAAAGAATGAAAAATGAATGAAAAAAAAAAGCGGAGCATCACAGAGCTCTAGTATCAGCGGAACACATAACAAGAACTAAAGATTAAGTGAAGTCTTTCATTTAAAACAAAATACCACAAACCGCTAACTACCACAAACATTTCTACATTCCCCTCCAGTGTCTTCAGACCAAGATTTGAAATGTTTTTGGAAAAATATGCTTTCATTACAACCCAAGGAGAAATGGAATGGAGTAGCCAGTGAGATAAAGGACAAGTACAGAGAATATAAAATTATTTATAGTCCCTCTAGCTTTAAACTATGAATTCAAGTCACACATAAGAACTCTGGCCAGCCACCTAGTTTCAAATCACACAGAATACAGCTACAGTCCATCCACCAGACATTGAGCTGGCAGATCCTCATCGCTGTACTGTTACCTGCTTTAGTCACTGAAGTTATTAAAGCAAACCAATCCTTTCTTCTGCAGGTGGGTCACCTTGGTTTTATGATGTCCTGCTTTATATGAAGGAACCAGGAACAGAGTTGCCAAAAAGTGGAAAAGTAAAAATTGATATATATAGAACAATGAAATGGAAATGTAGGATTTTAGAATTTCTTTAAGCTGTGTTACAGGACAAGAATATTACACTAGTTTCCACTGAAGCTGCTAGATCCTGCCTCAGAGAGCTACTCAGCATAGTAAACCAGGACATGTGAACGAAACAATTTCCTTGCATTAGCAGTTAAGGGACACGACTATTCTGATTGACCTGTGCCTCTTGAAAGCATTTAGAATCACAGGACATTGATGTCTTACCCACAGAAACAGCAACGGTTCTTTTCATATACAGCACAAAAATAAGTTTGTGTGCACCCTGGAACACATCCAATAAGTAGTAGTAAGAACATCCCCTGTATAAAAAGTGCTGTGATGCCACGTTCTGCCTGATTTTACCTAATAAGCTAACGTAGTCATAGGTAAAGCAATTAGCACCCTGTGATAGCTTTATGTGAGTGACAAAACTTCCTTTTTAATTAAAAATGTCCCAGTGTTTAGAGGTGGTAACTGAAGACTAGTGTATTGGGTTGGCTCAGCCGGATTT